CTCAGCAAACCTGCAGCCACGAGGGTCCGTCCTTCCCACCCCCTTCCCCAGCTTTACCTTTCCCTGGGGGTGCTCTGCCTCTGCAAGAGGCAGTCAGGGTTGCACACAAATAGCTTGATCTCAGGTGCGTTATTTTATTCTCTTCTACAAACCACGTAGCAAGTGGCGTTTGGGCAGCCTGCGGGGGTTCGGCTCTCGACGCAGGACGCTCGGCTTCTGAGCGGGGCAGCAAGCGGTGCCGGGCGCTGTGCAGTTTATAGCCGTGCCTCGACTTTCCATAGCAAAACTCCTGAGTTCATGTACACGGGGGCTTTGACGGAAGGGGGGTCTGCCTCAGGTCTTCATCAGTCACCTTGAAAAGTATTTTTTGATCTGTAGGGTTGCTGTAAAAAAAACCCCAAACAACGAAACAAAAAAACACAACAACAACAACAACAAACAACAGAAGAAAAGCTGTGATCTGGTATTGCCTCTCTATGATATTTTTACAATTGATTTTGTGGGTGTTTCTCTTTTTACGCCAAACTTGATATTTTAAATGGGTCTGATATTTCAGGGAGTCGTGAGAACAGAAAGCTAGAAAAACCTGGGTTGGAGCGGACTTCTGGAGTCAAGCTCCTGCTCAGCTTAAGAGCAGAGTTGTCCTGGGCTTTACCCCAAAACAGACGTCTAGAAACAAAAGGCACTATTAACAACTTTTGGTTTGTGTTCTCATTTTTGGAAGTTTTTCACAGAATGTTGATTGTTCATTTTCAAGGTTTTGGGGGGTGGGGTGGTACTTTTTTCTTTCTATTCTTTACATTAGGACTGCAAGAACCCTTCATACAACTTCCTTTTTTTTGTAAAGTAAAATCTCACACAGCAAGAAAACTTGTGTAGTTTTAGCAAGCGGTATCACTCTCCACAAAATATTCTAGATTTCAACCTTAATGACCTCGGTTTTAAAGCCACTCGGAAGGCTTCTTTATACATTTACAGTATATTCTTTATTCTTTACATAGCTTTGAAAATGTGATGTCTGTAGATCTGCTTTCTGCTTCTGATCAAGCCTGTGGATGTTTCAAATAGGAAAAGAAATACAAGCGCACATGCAGTAGTGTGCACGCAGGTGGTAGTTCATTCCAGAGGGTGCAAATTGTTGCAGTTGCTTATTTCCCTCTGCAACTATCTGAGTTTAAAATATTATCACTTGTTTATGCGATCAGAGAGTTTGGATCTAAGTGCATTGTAATGAGAATATGAAATGCCATCACCAAATTTTTCAAACTGCTATTCCACTAAGTTTGATCTTTTTTTTTTAATGAAGAAGAGTACATTTCACTGATAGGAATTTCCCCAAATTGCATATACTTTGAAATATTTGCTCAGGTGTTTTCTACAAGAGCTTCTCTTTAAAGTACTAATACTCCAAGACCGGCCCACTCTTTTTATATTTTTCCAGAAAACATAGACTCTTACACATGAGTTGGTCATCCTGAATCTTCCAAGGATAGCATAGATTATCCTGCACAAGTAGGACAAAAAAGAATGATATGATTGCAACACAGTGAACAAGAATTGCTTCTGTGTAATATTGCAAGAGGTCATAAGCAATCAGTCTTTATTGAAACAAGCAAGCAGGAAGAGTGATAACATGTTTACTACGCGTAAGCAAAAATTATAATCAACCCTATAATAAATTTATAAACCTCATATAGGATTTAATCCAAGTCTTTTGAAATCTATGGCTCAATGCCTTTTGGTAAGGAATAAAGGCAAAAGTTTGGCATCAGAACATAAATCTTGGACTGCAGGATCGTAGTTCCTGGACCGCAAGCCTGGTGTCTACCCTGTGGAAGTGTTTTTACATACTAAGCCGCAAAGTCTTTACTTAAAATTTGGTTTTATTCTCTTCTGCCAAGCGAGGTGACACTTGCAGCGCCAGTTCCAGAAACACCCACCTACGTCTGCCAGAGGCTGGGCTGCATTCCTTCACTTTTTCTGGGCTCAGGGCTTCCTCCATCGTTTGCTCTTTTACGGGGTTCAGATCAGACCGAATCGGCGCCGCTTCCAGGTTTCCCATGGCGCTTATTTCTTCTCCTTAAAAACAAAAAATATGCGTGCAACGGAAGGAACGCCTCCTCTACTGCCTATTTAAATATACAAGCATGTCACAACAGACACTGGATTAAGCCCGTTGTTTCCCAGTTCCACTCTTGTGAAAAAAGTATTTCCACTCACTGCTGTCCTCGCTGAAGGTTTTGTCCTAAATTTATCTCTAGGGACACAGTATGTTACAGAATAAGATATATGCATGTATTTTTGAAAACCAGTCATTAGCAAAGATTTTGGGGGCAAGCCTTTGCCAGCTTTGCACCGAGCGGGCTGGATTCGTCCCCGAGAAGCCGCCCGGCACATAGCCGCTCGCGCCACGCAGGTCCCTGCCCTTTATACTTCAGGATTTCCGAGTGCTCACGGAGCCGTAAATCTTCTATATACAAAAACTCAACCTGGCTTTC